GAAATTCCATACGCTTGTGCTCCTATTGAACCTTTTAGCTCTGGACTTGATCTGTTGTTCACAGCAGTCCCCCTTTGAGTGGAAAGTTGGATTAGCTGCCCCCCAGAGGTCCCCTCTGATCAAGGCTTCTGTGATTCTGTGACTCCTCTTGACTTTTCAGTATGGATTTCCAAAATTAAAGAGAATTAGAGTAATTGAATCACCACACGTTTTTTTAAGAAGCTTTAACATATTTTGCACTGTGAAATGAATAGTTCTGTTTCCCAGCCAGAGCRGAGAGGACTTGGTCTTCAGCATTTTCCTGGAATGATTTGAACTAGTAAAAAATCATAGAGAGGAGCTAACTGCACATGTGAGCAGATTTGCAGTGTGCCATGCACTGCACCTCCATATTCTAGTAGCTGAATGCAACCAATACTGTCTTTAGAACACACGTTATTGTCCAACATTTAGGAATATTCTTTTCTTATGTTAAATATATAGCTGAGGAAAAGGAGAGTATGGTTGGTGGAAACATGGCTTAGGAATTTATGCCTGTGAATCATAGGACCCGTGAGGCATCAGGCAGCCAGAGCTGCATTATTTACAGAGGCATGTTGTATAATTGTGCCCGTCTTATCGTGATGAGTCATYGGGTTAAGTAAAAGCAGATCTCACGTATATGGGTGAGGGTGACTAATCACTGTGGTGCTGCCAGGACTTTCACTGTTTAAAACATCATTTTTAGTGTTTAAAGGTTTGGTGTCAGCAAATTGTCATTTTCTGATTAATGTTGCTTTGCTGAGACATCCCAGACATCTCCGGTATTGATGTATGAGAGCAGGTGCCCCAACATGAGTATCCAGGATCGCCTTTCAAGAGCACCAACACACATTGAGGTAATTTTGTAATACTGAATTTGTGCAAGTCATCAGCATTTCTGTCAATTCTTGTTTTGGGTGACAAGTGAGGAAATTCAGAATACACTATGCAATTTGTATCYGAGCTCAACTCAGTATACCAAGTTTTCTGAATATGCCTCTTAATTCTTGACTTAATGCATGCTTTCTTTATCTTTAAGTCATAAAGTACTACGGCATAAAGTGCTTAAGCTCTGAGAGCTGTGTGCAAACTCTGGCCTAGTCTAAAAGATCATGAGGGTTTATTGAAAACATTTGCTCTGATGGAGCTAATTCCTCACTATACTTAAGGCTGCTCTAGGCACAGTGAAGAAATATTATGTTTACTTCTTAAGTAGTTAATTTCACTGGTATAGATTAATTAATAWGAACAGTTCAGAGTTCAGTTTAATAACAGTGATAATTTTTACACATAAAAAAAGTTTGTTAACTTGTAGGTATCTGAAAATGTCTGTAAGAGATGGGTATGCAAAACTGAGAATTGAGCTTTCAAATACTGCAGTTCTCGCCTTCATTAATCATGACACCCTCATATTCTCATACATCTCTGAAAAATGTGCATAAATAGAGGACAGGGAKTCTATCAAATTCTTGCTGAATCTTCAACCTTTTACCATATACCATATGTATCCCATCTCCTAAGACTAAGCCAGTGTTGGATATGSTTTAGAAAAAAAAGGAACATCAGTTCCAGCTGGCTTATGTGGTTTAATTTGGGAAGGGCTAACTGCAAAGTGCAAAAATTGCTAGAAAGTCGGTGAAAAACATGTACACTGCTAAGAGTACAGAGCTTTCTATACAGATTTACTTGATCCCAGGTGCAAAATGTGTTTGCAAAGTGAGTGATGCCTAACTAAAGGAGAAAAAAAAAATGTGTTTAATGTAAGATGCTCCCACACTGAACGCCCAGATATTCAGGCAGGGAAAGGCTGTGTCGAGCATGGCAGAACTGCATTACTGATATGTATGCAGGCAAAGAGGCAGAAAGAACGATGCTTCCTTGGAGCTTTATTCACGGGAAGCCACTGAGGATTCCTCTGTTGACCCGCACTAATGCTCCTTGTGTTTTGTTGCAAAGAGAAGTCATCAACTCAGTTCCGCACGAAGACGCTGGAGCAGGCGGGATGCTGTGTGTCACACCGTGTTGTCTGTGTGTGGAATAACATGTTGGGATAGATTTGCAGGACTCRTGTGGCTTGCAAAAGGACACCTCCAGGCAGACTACTATGACCAGCCGCTGGCTTTTCTTAAACTTGACAACTTTTTTCAGCAGAAATTTATATTAAAAAGAACAAACAAAGGTCTAAGGTCACCGAACACATTTGCACTCCATACCTATAACAATCCTAAATCTGCTTATGTTGTACCTTAAGGTAAATTTGRTTGGGTTGTAGGGACAGAGGTAGTGCCTTGATGGCTTCCCTGTCAGGATACATGGACACCACCCTGCAATGCCTATTATAGACAAGGTTGCTACTACCTAATGGCTTCAGTGACTGTGCCCTTGATTTACCGGGGTCAGAAATGGGATCATTAACCCATGTGGAGGTTGATTGCCTTTAGATAGAGTTATGGAGTGTTACTGTGCCTTGGCATGGCTAGGCGAGTATAGGAATTTTTATAAACATTTTTATCATCTTGGTTTTCTGTAGAGCTTAATAGCAGAGCTACAGTTCAGAGGAACCTTYGTAAACTTGCCAGATATCATGTGTYTTGATTTGGGTACTCCAGTTCAAGAAGGATGCTGAGAAACTGAAGGGGATTCTGCAGATGATCCCAGGCTAGTATCTTCTTGGTGAAGGTGGGAATGTGATAGCAGCAAAGTACTTGGAGAGAGAGGAGAGAGAGCAGAGCTAAACTCCTCTTGGTAGGAATATGTGGTAATAATAATTAAAAAAAAAAAAAAAAAAAAAAAAAAAAAAANAAAAAAAAAAAAAAAAAAAAAAAAAAGGTGCAAATTCTGGCTTTGGAGATTCAGGCTCACATTAGGAAAAATTCCAGGAGGAGTGCAGAGCAGTGAAACTGGTTACCCTCAAAGGTGCTGGGATCCTCCTTCCTGTGAGGTTTCCGAGGTTCAGCAGGATAGAGTAATGGTTTGCTGATACAGTGTTGGCAGTAGTCCTGTGAGTGAGGTACTGAGCTGGATATCCTCCAAAGATCCCTGCAGAGCTAATACTGCATGAATATATGATCCTATTCACTTGAAAAAATTAAGTGTGTGTTATTTTATAGAACTACAGCTACACGACCTTTGCCATTGTGAWCTCTGATGTGCAAACCAATGAAGCACATGGATAATTTAGAAAATGCAACACAGCAAGATGCACAAAGGCACATCTAAACAGCACATTTATTTACCTGCTAAATTGAACAGGATSTGCAAAGATCTGAATATTTTGCACATCTCTAGGGAAGATACTTTTGATAAAAACTCCAGAATCCTTAAGGACAACTGAAGTGAATTTAAAAGATTCCTTGGGGGTTTTCCAGAGAAAAAACATGCAATCTGTCCGTTCAAACATGCTTAAAATTAGCAGGGTTGCTTTAAACCCTTGCACTATGTCTCACTTTGAGTACTTTGCAGAAACAAAGGCAAAATGCATATGGCTTTGCAAGTTTAAACCATATGTCAACTCAACTGGATTTTAAAGGCAAGCGTTTCTTAATCATTATTTAAATAAATAATGTGGCATATTCAAACTAATTTGGCTTCTTTAGTTGAGCTCAGCCTAAGCTCTGTTGCTTTTGCTGCATACAGAAGAATTTGGATTGCAGATGGAGGATTGATTGKCAAAACCTACATGACAGGAAGATTTGAAACACTGCTGAAAGTGTGTGCTATATTGCCTGCAAGTTGCAAGCAAGTGATTTTCTATATGGCTTTGCAATGAAAACAAAATAGTATTTCAGTGAACAACAAACATTCATTGTATCATTGTTTTCTAATGATTCCTTCTTTTCAATGAATTTCAAAAAGCTAAACTCTACTTTGCCATGAGGTAGGTTCATCTATTATATGGCCAAAATAATGTTATCTGGGAGTAGGTCTTTAAAGAAAGCAAATGCCTTAAAATATAAAAAGAGAGGTGTAGTGTTGTGCTGTCAATCAGCTGTCCATCACTGTGAGAAGTTTAGTACCTATAGCTGCAGKCTTTCTAATTGATGGTTCTGTCTGGTGTTTGAAAAGCTGTAAATTACTGATGCTTATGTGATGGACTGTCCACGTATGGATGAAAACGGCACCACACTGTTGCAGCGTGTTTAAAAAAAAATGATTTGTTGAAAATTGACTTGGAGAATTTGTCCTGGAGGTCAGAGCTCCATTTAGAGGGCTCGTGCTTCCATAGAAATGGTTAGAAATGCCCCAGATAGGCCTCACRAGTAAATGAACGGTTTTGATATATGTACCTGGCAAAGATTTTGATTCATTTAAATGGGAAAAAATAAGTGGAGCAAAACGGCTGGGGCATTTTCTAAGTAAATTCATCAGTCATTCAGGAACTATGCATTTAAAATACCCATAAATAATAGAGTGCCCTATCTAAAGGGAAGGCTTTTATTGATGCGTACATGCAGTGTCACCCTGAATTTTCATTTTTAACTTATCGTTTCCTTGCATTTAGAACCAGATCAGGCAAGTTATTATTATTATTACTATTTTATTATCATTATTTTGCTTTATTTTAAAGGCATTATTTTGTGTGATGAATAAAATAAAGTTGATACAGTTGTTGCAGCTTTAAAATGACTTTCAGGTAATAAGCAATTGCTTCRAAAACTATTTACCTTCAATCAATTTTTAATATTGGAGACTGGAGATTGAAAAAATAATGTGGTAACTATTGTGTTTTGCCACTGGTATTTGTGAATCCCCTTTACTAATATTCTTACAATATGTTGTAGCTCTTTAAATGTCTTCTTTCCCCTCTGTGATGATGAGCATGGGAGTGATTATGCTCCAAAGGCAGGAAGGAGGATGGAAGTAGCGAGAAAGGAACACTGTGGACGAAGGTTCTGCTTTTAAATGCTCAAGTCCCTCAGGTTTACTAAAGAAACATAAGAAAGCTAACGTTTTGTTCTTGTTGTTGTTGTTTTTAATAGATAAAAAGATGGCCTACCACAAAGTGCACGTGGACCAGAGAGCCCAAGGGCATTCTCTGTACATGGACAACGATGACCTGCAGGCAACGGCACTGGACCTGGAATGGGACATGGAGAAGGAGCTGGAGGAGCCCGGCTTTGACCACTTCCGCTTGGATGGTGCAGCCCAACATCCTCCAGGGAACTCGCAGAGCCCCGACCTTGACCTGGAGCCCATCCAACCTTCCATGTCTCCCAAAGGAAGATTCCAGCGTCTTCAGGAGGATCCAGACTACATCTCACGTTACATGAGACAGCCACCAAAGAGCAACCGCCGCAATTTCTGTCAGATGTTTAAAGTACTTTGCACTGTTTTGATYGTATTTATTTTGGGGATTTTGACAGGATATTATGGACACAAGAAGTGTCCGCCTTCCTCAACATCTCCAGAGTCAAATAACCCTCATGTCTTCCAAGAGATTCTCAAGGAAATCAAAGCTGAAAATATTCAACAGACCTACAGGTATGTAATCTTGATGTATTTTTGTCTAAATGCAACCAAGTGCCAAAGTTAAGTTTTCCTGTGTTTTATGTGACATCTTATTAACAAATCTTCAATATTTCTTCCTGTGCTCTATTTTATTCTGATGCCTGGGAAACTTCCCATACATATGGATGGGAGAAGAGAGAATGGAACTAGAATGCTGTGCAACAGCATGGAGTTTTGTGTAGATCATCCTGTTTGAGAGAAAATTGAGTTTGCTTTAATAATATTCTGTTGCTAAATATCAATATTACCTTGATTGTACACAAATTGGAAAACAGTCCAAATGAAGTGGTGGGAATGGAGAGAAATAAACTTGGTAATTGAGTGAGCTTTCAAATGGCTTGGTTAAATAGCAAGATTTTTGGACTCAGTTTTATAATACGTAATATTTTAAGAAATTCCCACTTAATCACAGTGACAACTGAAGTGGATCCTGACTTGTTTTGCAGTCCATGAGGTGAAAGTAAGCCTTTAGTCTGCATGGATGGTAAGGTGGAAAAAATTGTGATTGTGAAAAATTGTGAAAAAAACTGTGATTGCTGAGCACCCAAATAGGCAAATTAACTCTTTTTCCCAATATGATTTTAAGAGTTACCTGATTATAAAGGTAACTCAGTGTTTTAATCCAAAGGACCTGTTTTATTGATATGAAGGGCTATGAAATACCCACTGATTCCTGTCACTGACTTGAATATATAGATGCACGCGCGCACACACACACACACACATACATTTACATTTATTTAAATTTGTATTTATATTCATATTTATGTGTGTTGAATATGGACTGCTTCCAGTGCTTGGAAAGTGCACTTTTCACCATGGTATCAAAATACACCATTGGCCCGAGATAAATAGAAATTATAATCATTTTCCCATAGCAGTGAATGTGGAAGAAACCAGGTTTTCTGTCCTAGTTTTGAAAGTTATTTCTATATAAGGGAGGAAATCAACTTGCCTCAAGTTTATGAAACTGACCTGAAACTGTGGAAGTTTTTACTTTTTTTCCCCCCCCCCATGATAAAGGGAGTGCCTTGATGGCTTTTTGTCTCTTGCAGAGCGGAATGTATTTGAAGTTACAAAAGATTGTTGTAGTGGAAGTCTAAAGAACTGGGCTAAGAAGATCAGAAGTAAATCAAAAGTATTCTTATATATATACACACACACATGTACATAAAATATTTGATACGCAAAACTAAAAAATGCCGTGTTTCAAGCCAAGCCTTAACTAAATTCAAGGAGAAAAATGTATGAAAGTCTTGATGTCATTTCTCATTAACTGATCCATCTCTATTTGATAGATGTAATTACTTCTAAAAAATGATGTAGCTGGTGAATAATTGTGGTATGGAAGGGTAAAAAATCAGCTTCCTTATCTGCTTGGGAAGGAAATTAGATTGAAGCCTATCAYGAGACTTTGACATGAACCAACCATCTGAAWGAACTGAACTATACAGATTGGGTATTGTGAGAATTACCACAAATGATAGAGAATTTGGTCAGTCCTAGGTTAGTATTCCAATAGATTRTGTTTGGGGTTTGGGAATCGCTTTTCATTTTTTATTTCAAAGGATGGCATAAAAACATTCAGTTATTTTAACACTTTTCAAACTATTTCAACCTGCTATTAGGATCTTAGTGAGAATCCAGATCTGAGAGAAGGGAATTATATAGCTGKTTTGGATCTTATGAAACTTAGGCTTTATTTTATTCCTCATTTCCTTATCTTTTTATAAGCATATACAATTCTTAGAATTTCAACAGGATGTACTTGGCTGCCTATCGGTAATATATATAAATAGCTAAACAATACTTAGAGTGTGGTGCAGTACCCAAAAAAAAAAAAAAAAAATCCAAAGTTTTGGTCCAAGGCAGAGTTCTGTGTGTTGTAAATTGTATGTTGTGTTCAGTGGTTCTCCTGCAGCATCTGTTCGGCAAGAGTTGGAGCTGTTGCAATGAAACCTGTGTGTACGTAGCCCCACAAATACAAAGCAGGCAACATCTGTTCCTTGGAGAAAAAGAAAAAAAAATATGACAAAATCGATATATGTTATTCTAAGACTTCTTTCAACTTAATATACTTTGAATTATGAGGATAAGTGGCAGCTGCTTAAATTGCAATTTCTAAATGTTACTCAGAATGACACTAATTTAATTTTCATAGATTACTACTTGGATCAGAATCGATAATAGTGAGAAATTTGGTTAACAGTCCTGAAGAAGGAAATAGGAGAAAAATGCACGCTGGACGTAGCAGTACCAGTCTTACTAACCAAGTGCACATCACCTTGATGTGCTTGGAGATCTGGAGTAAGAACTTTCTGCTACGACAAAATCTCCTGCAGTCAGGTGAATTTTGGGATCTTCCGGGCTTTGCTGCAAATTGGAAGTGCAATATCTCCAAAATGTTTTCTGGTACATCCAGTGGGCATAGTTAGAAAATAATTGTCTGTGTTTAGATTCTGTAAGCATCATAGATCCTGAGTCTTTAGAATAAGTAAAATTCAGTTTTCACAAGTGATGAACATGACTAGATGTGGAAGTGTTTGAGGTTTATAATAATGCTTTGGATCTGAAGATTTTGAATAAATGGTGACACCCAGTGATTCTAAGTACACTGTCAAAATTTCAAAAGTAAATGAATCCAATTTTCTGTGAAAACAGACATTGTTGAATTCTTCTTGAAAACAGAATTCTGTTTGCTATTATCACTCAAGTGCATCTGAAAATTCAGCTGTTTTTTCCTTCCCTGTGTGCATAAAGAAAGAGGCACTAATGATGCATTTTTATCCTGTTTTTATTGTGTATCTGCCAGATGCGGTTTAGCTATATAGTGTTCATTATTACATAATTGAACTATTCAGCAGATTACTGTTTATAATGAGTGGATTGAACTTCTGTTGCCAAATTAAAGATCAGAATGCCATTAGCACTGTGCAGTGTCAGTTCCTTCCCACTACCTCTTAGGCAAATTTTTCCTGACCTATTTTCTCTTGGAAGATACAAGAGATAAAAATAAAATTGACAGCACTGTGGCATTCTGGTCACAAAATTCGCTAGTGCCAAGGTTTTGTTCATCGTGTGTGGTGTTAAGCTTTCACATTTAACAATGATGAATATTTAAGTTTTATGCAAACAAGAGTTCATTGGTTTTGCCATTAAGGATTGAGTTGAATGTTTATAATGAAATCAAAGAGGACGAGTCTGAAAGTATGGAACGTAGCCAAAATACCATCTCTAAGATCTCTAATTTTGTAACAAATAGTACTGCCCAGTGTGACAACTTTTTCTTAGTGTTTCATATTCTGTTTTGAATAGTGAATTGAACATTGCAAAGCATTCACATAGAAGAAATATAAAAAATAGGATTTTAGTTTTGTATGATGTTAGTTCAAGTTGCTCCAAAACAGAAAAAAAGGAAACAAAATCCTAAATTTCCTGTGAAATATGAAGCTACTATGTATACTCAGTGGGAAGCTGTAATTTTGTTCTGATTTCTGTAAATTAAAACAGATAAACAGAAAGATTAATGTTGCATAGTAAGCTGAAAGAAAAGTAGACTGTTGTGTTGATCTAAGTCTAGCTATTGCATTTGGTTTATCAGATTAGTTTATTTTCTCAAGCATTAATATTAAAATTGTAATAATCTTTTATACTACTTCACCATGTAACTCCTTTCACAGTTCGTGTATCTCAGTGGCTGTCAAATTTGTGACAAGTGATAGATCATATTTGCAGTCAACTTAGATACTCTTTTCCATGGTTAAGGATGTGGGGTCACACACAAAAGAATTTTTTTGTCTATTACTCTCCATTTCTTAAACTTGTTACTAAATTGTTTTTTTTTGCTATTTTTTTTTTCTTCTCCTGTGAGCAACAGGAAGGTTTAAATCCTTTCATAATATGTCTGGTTGTAATAGGTGTCCTTTGGAGGCATATCTCTCCTTTCTTCCAGCTGGTCATATCACCTGCACAATCTCACAAATCCATCTGTGGTAGGAATTGATTCATCGCTGGTGCCCAGCGTTATCCACAACGGAAGCTTTACTGCTTCAAAAGGCATTAAGAAAGAAGACAGCAACAGTTCCCTTATACCATCATTGCCAAAGAAACAGAAGTTCCTATACAGTGAGAAAAGGGATGTACTTCACTTTCTGGAAGTGAGATAGGAAACCGCCATTTGATACCTAAATGTTTCATGTCTCTATCAGGTCTTTTCAGCTTTGTTAAAAACTTGAAAACTTGGAGCTTCAAAACTTTTCTCTTTTTTTTCTTTTTTTGGTAAAAAAAAAAAAAAAAAAAAGGATGAAATATATATCCAGCAAGCAAAACAAGTCCAAAAAGTCTGCTCAGCAAAATCAAATTTTGGTGATTTGCACTGAATTACATTTCCAACCTGCTGTTTGGCAAAGCTTTATCGGCTGTTGCAGGAATGAGGAATCGTGGCAGGAGCAAAGTTTTGTCCCTTACAGTAAGGGACTGAGGGGGATTATTCTTGAAATGAGAATTCTAGTGTGCCCATGGGCTCTGGTGGCTGTTTCTCCTGGGAAGGACTCAGGAGACTCTTCTGAAAAGAGTTAGTAGTAATGTCCAACAAGTGCAAGTGTCCCACCTTACCCTTTGCCAAGAAAGAACGACTTCTATAGAAGAAAGATGCTGTGCTCCTTTCCATAAGGGTTATCTCTGGACCATAACTTGGTGAATGTAGGCTGCTAATATGTGGTTGTATAATGTGTTATGACTCCTCTGCAAATAGGGAATATCTGGACCTTGAGGTGTTAATAGAAAATGTCAAACATAGCTCTTCCATTGNTTTTTTTTTTTTTTTTTTTTGTATAGACAAAAGCAAGAAGCATCATATTGATATAATACCTGAAAAGCAGATGCAAATTTGTTCCTGTTAGCGTCAGGCAGTTTTTGAATAAGATCAGAATTTTGCCAAAAATATCTTGGCTTATGGTTTTTCAGCATTGTAA